TGGTTTGAAAGAAGTTGGGGGGAGGGGAAAGGCGGTCAGGAAAAATACGGAACTAACTCTAAGTATTGCCCAAGCAAGCATCCAGAGGACATATCCCAGGGTTGTTTGTTTCCCATTAAAATTTGGCACGTGAACATGAAATAAACAGGGATTCAAATCAACTAATCGGACAGAGGGTGAGGAAGGCAGGGCTGTGGAACCAGTTGAGGATATCTCTGGGAAAATTACCCACGAAGGGACACACTCTGGTCCAAGCAATTTTTTTTTTTTTTACCACAATGCTAAATTTCCTAAGTTTTTTAAAAAAATAAAGATTCACTAATGTTTCATCAATGTAGAAAACAAAGAGAGATCCATACAAGTATTGAGGATAAGGAATAAGATTTATCTATGAAAAATCTCAGATTCACAAAATAATGAAACTGGGGACAGATGATTAAATATGCAAAACGCTTTCCAAAGATTCCTTTAAAAAGAACCTGACATAAAGTATATCCCCCCCCCCCCCCCCCCCCCCCCCCCGTTCTTCACAAAGAGTATATTGAATGTCCACTAGGTCGAAGGCCCTGGGCAAGCCACAATGTAGGATTCAGAGGTAGATGGCTGGTCCCCTCACTGAGCCCTTTCCACAGTGGGTATGAGAGGGACTGCGGTGTTGTGGAAGTGGTGGCCCAGGATGCACCCACAGCAGCCTGCAGAGACTGGAGGAAGGGAAACACAAAAGGCTCTCAAGGGAGTTACACCTGGGAAGTGCCTGGCTGTGAAATACTGCCCTAAGGTGACTTCAGCAAGCTGCTACAGGTTATAGATGCCTCAGCCTCCTCATCTTTCAGAATGACGTGCAGATTACTTCTAGAAGAGCACAGCTTTAATTTTCTCAGCGGGACTTATTTCCCCATGTTAGCTAAGATGAACTGAATTCCTCCCAGCTCCCCAGGTTCCTATTTGAGTCAAGATTTGGAGTAGGGTTCAAACAGACCCAAAACCTTGGTCATAATACGCGCTTTGGGAAATAGAGTGTTCCCTGTATTAGGGTGATTTACAGGGGGCCTTCAATAAACCTAGAATTAGGCTGAAGGACCAATAGCTGAGACCTGAACTTCTGATTTCCTAACCTGCGCTTAAGAATATCAGTCAGTCAGTCTAGGGCCATACCACCCTGGACACACCCCATCTCATCGGATCTGGGAAGCTAAGGAAGGCCAGGCCTGGTTAGTATTTGGATGGGAGAAAGTCAAACAACCAGAACAGATATAAAGAACAATTCTTCTGTATTCAGTGTTCAGTACTGAATTGAGCTAACACCTGGTCTGTCCTTCTTTAATTATGTAGAATGAAACTGGAAAGATTGGCCAACAGTAGCTTCTCCCCCAAAATTTAAGATTCATGACATCAATTTCCAAGGCTGTTTGTATTGTTCTTCTTGTTTTGTTTTAAGATTATACTATGGTCTATTCTTTGGGAAGGAACTGATGTTGGCTTAATTAAAAAAAAAAAAAAAGAACAGTTTACAATTCTGGTTTGGGTTTCCAGGGTGTTCCTCAAGTCTTGGTCTCAGCTATGTTTCTTGAATCTGAGTTAAGAGTTTTGTTGAATGCTTATTGAAATCATTCGAATATAGGGAAAACTCCACTTCCCCAACTGCCGGTTATGGTTGAAGGTTTGGTTACGTTTGAGCCTTACCCCAAATCTTGTCTACGGTGAGTGCAAGACAACTACACAGGCCCTTGGAAGGCATTTCCAGATCACCAGATTAAGAAATTTACAGCTTGCAAGTGAGAATTGGTCCTTTAGGAGAGAGAGAAAGAAACTGAGAAGAACTCATAGATAAAGCCCACCCAAGACAAGGCCTTTATTACAGGTGACCGAACAACACTAGAGAGATGCCTTTAGTCCCCAGCCCATTCTGCAGGTTAGAACAAAAAATTTGTACCTATAATACTGCTCTCCCAGTCCACACACCTGTTGGACATAGCTACCCTACTTTAAGAGAGAACAACCTGACTTCAAAGCACATGTAAAAGGACACCCCCCCCCTCATGCCCCATTGGGTTTGGTAGTGGGTATACCAAGAGATGGAACAGTTTACGGTTCAAGCATGCTAATGCTCTTTAATGGAGAGGGTGGAAAATGGGGGCGAGTGGCAATTTAAGGAAAAAGGGGGAAGAGAACAGAGGGCAGCAGACACAGCAAAGTCTAACTGAATGACTGGAATGGTCCTCCTTTAACTTCTCTTAAAGTACAGTCTGGGTTTCTGGGGGCGAACCAGTTAGCTGCTTCTCCTTTTCCTTCCTCTCATACTCTTTTAGGCTTCTCTCATCAGTTCTTGGACTCATTTGGTCACTAACTGGGTTGGTTTAAGTAAGTAAGGGGCTGACCAAAGGCAAGGCCTCTTGTTCCCTCCTGAAAGACTCAGTGGTCATGTATTCTACTTCTAACCCTCACGAAGTATGCCTCTGGTCACATGAATGGATCAAAGCAAATCCATTTCCATTCTTGGAAAAGCAGCTCAAAGCACATGTTTTCTTGATGGTGCCGCTGTCATTTCTGTGTAATCAACAAACATCATTTATTGAACACTCTCTCTGGACACTATTGGAGAATAGAAAGATGGATCAGTTGCTCAAGGAGGTGAAGACACCTAGCAAGTGAAGCAGGTATACACACAGTGAAATATAATACCATGAGTTTTAAAGACTGCATTTGCTTCTTTCTACCCCATTTTCTACTATGTTTGCCACCTACGTCTCAGACGCTGGTGGTGAAGAGTGCAGTAAAAGGCTCTGGTTTATGCTTAGGCAGTTTGGCATCTGAAAATTAACATCTTTTAAAATAAAAACATTCCCTTTCCTCTCCCCCACTTACTCTCCTCAATTCAAGACTGAGTCAAGGGATCCCTGGGTGGCGCAGCGGTTTGGCGCCTGCCTTTGGCCCAGGGCGTGATCCTGGAGACCCAGGATCGAATCCCACATCGGGCTCCCGGTGCATGGAGCCTGCTTCTCCCTCTGCCTATGTCTCTGCCTCTCTCTCTGTGTGACTATCATAAATAAATAAAAATTAAAAAAAAAAAAAGACTGAGTCAGAAAGTTGTACCTAATGGGTTGTTATGGGGAAAGAAAGAACCCAATCTCCTTGGATTACCTTGACCTATAATAATTATAATTACTGTTTTCTAAGTTTATGATATGCACCAAGTGTATATGCTACCAGACTTAATCTTTGCAATATGCAAGGTAACTGTTATCCCTACTCTGTAAGCAAGAAAATTGTGGTTTCATGTGGCTCGGAAAGCTAACCGAAAGCTGGTAAGAAGTAAAGCCCAGAAGTGAACCTATGTTTGTATGACCTGAAGCTCAGCCTTTAACCACATCATAATGTTTCAACATACAGCACTGAAGCTTGAGATGAAATCTTTTACTTTTGCAAGGGACCTTACCCAGAGTGGAACGTCACCTGTCTGAAGTATACCAAAATCCCGTTTGAGGCGAAAGCTGCATCTATCATTTAAAAGCACTACAGTGTCAGAAACACTCTGGAATGGAAGAGCGTTGACCAAAGAAGCCAAGTTATGTGTGTGCGGTCACAGGCAACATTTCTTTTCCCTATTTGTGGTACAAAAAAATAACCACAGGAACAAACTTTTCCCCTTCCTCTCCCAAAGGCAACGAGGCCTGACTTCTTGGGTCAAACAAAATAATCTCAAAGTCTCAAATGCTGGGGCTCCTGAAAAATGCAATAAAGACTAGACACCATCAGGTGGATTTCAGGCAATAAAAACAGACAACCAAGGGAGCGCACTGGTGGCAATGAAGATATCAGATGTGCCCATGTGTTGCATGTGTGCATCTCTATGTATACTATACAGTTATTATGCATCTGTTGACAGGCATCCATCTCAAGATTGTGTTCACATACCCGTTTTCTCACCCATCACAGCAAGGCTGAGAGAAGGACGGGGTACCGATTCTGATTTTCCAGATTAGAAAGAAGGCACAATAAGTTAGTTGAAAAGCAAATCACAGCATTATTTTCAAAAATCCTAAAATTTTGATGTACCGTGGGCTTCAAAGGGGGCATGTGAAGGACTCACTTTTCACTCAGCTGCCCTCGGGGAACAGTCTGCCGTCAGAATTTCCAATCTGGTGGGCAGCTGGAAAGGTGCTCTCTCCCAGGGCTGGATCTGCAGATGTGGAAGCCTGGGCCTAAAGAGTCGCTGAAAGACTGGTCTCTGGAGTGACAGGGGCAGAATCTGACAGGTCTCCTGAGCCTTCCTACACCCGCCAGGATCCTCTCTAAGGAATAGCAGAAGCACAGCACGTAGGTTAGGGAGGAGAGAACGGCAGGCCGAGCGCCATTCACTTCCCAGGCCCCCCCTCGGGGACCCCCCACCCCCCCCAGCGCCCCGCCACCGCCCCCACTCAAACTGGACGCGAGCGCAGAGGAGGGCTGGAGGTTCTCAAACAACAAAAGGCAAAATTACGTTCTCGGGGATCAGAAGGTCCTTAGGGGGCCTTGGGGTCTGCAGTACGACCTCGAAAAAGAGAGGCCTCTCCTGCAAAACTATCCAACCTGGAGGCGGCAGGGGCGGAGGCCGGGCGGTCGGGGGGCGCCTGGCTCGGGCCGGGGGTGGGTGGGGGCGGGGGTGGGGGCTGAAGGGCCGGCGCTCGGCCCGCGGAGGCGAGCGGCGGCCCGGGCAGGCGGGGTCCTTCCCGGCAGGAGGTCGCCCGTCCGCGCGCCGCGGGCCAGACCTTCCTCGGCTCCCCTCCCCCCGCCCCCCCCCCCCGCCGCCTCCACGCGCCCCCTCCCCCCACGGCCCTTTCCCTTTCTTTCTTTGCAAGCGCTCGCCCCCCCGCCCCGACGGCGCCCGCTCGCGGGTTCGCCCAATGGCCGCGGCGCCGGGGCGCGCATCAGCCGCTCCGCCCCGGCTCCCGGCCGCTGGGAGCCAATCAGGGCGCCGGGGGCGGCCCGGGCCGCGGATAAAGAGCGCGGGGCTGCAGGCGGCCTCGCAGAGCCGAGAATGGGAGCGGAGGGGAGCTTCTGAGCAGCGCCCCGGCCTCCTCTCCTCGCCGCACCTCGCTCTCGCGGCCTGGCCTGCCCGCCCTGCTGCCTGCGACCCGCCAGGTAAGCGCGCCGCCGGCCGGGGGACCTCAAGTGGTGCGCGCCGCCCCCGCCGCCCCCGCCGCCCCCCGTCCTGCCCCCGAGCCCGGCACGCCGGCCCCGCGGCTCAGGGCGGCCCCTCGCACCGCCAGCCCCCGCGGTGCTTCTCCGCCCCCGCGCCCTCGGGGTGCCCCCGCGCCCTCGGCTCCCGGCTGCCCTGGCCTGGCGACCGCGGGGTGCGCGCTGACCGCCGGGCTTGCGGGAGGGCGGGGACTTGTTTTGATCTTTCTTCGGCTGCTCGCGGCTCTAAGCGCCGCCCCTGGAGGTCTCGGCGAGGCGGACGGTGGAGCCGGTGCTGGGGCCCGGGCTGTGCGCGCCGCGGAGGAATGACGGGTGGCCCCGCGGGAGCCTCGCTCTCCTGCTCCGCGGCGGCGGCCCTGGGGACCGTCGTGGGCTTGATCTCTAGGCGCCTACCCGAGGCGAGTAGCCGTGAGCGTCGCTCGTGGGGTCCGGGGGGGAGCCCTGCACTGTGACTGAACAATGGGGAGCCCGGGCCGCGGCGTGGCCCCGGCACAGCGGGCGGAGAGGGGCGGCGGCGGCGGCGGGGCGCTGGCCCCCGCCCCCACCCGCACCCGCACCCCCACCCCGCGCCCCGCACCCCTGCCCGCTCCCCGCCCGGGCCCTCGGAGGGTGATGGCGCCCTCGGCGAGGCCCTGAGGCCCGAGGGGCGGGGCGCCGATTTTAGGGACGCTTCAGGGGCCGAGGGCTGCTCTCAAAGTGGATCATCCCAACTGCCCGGGGGGCGGGAAGCGGGGAACCCCCCCCCGCCGCGAGTCCGCGAAGACCGCCGACAGCGAAGATGAAGCCGAGGCGGAGTCGCGGTCCTCGGAGTCCCCCCCCAGCTGCTTCGGCTTCGTCGCCCACTCGGTGAACTCGGGAGAGAAGTCGCGAGTCAAGATTCAGGCCGCGTCCACCCGCCTTCGTTGGCCTCCTCGGCGCGCCGCGACCCCGATCGCTCCCTGACCCCTTCTCCGTCTCCGTCTCCGTCCCCCTCGCCCAGAAAGCTCCGGTGTATGGACCAGCGGGAGCCCGAGAGCCTGGAGAGGCGCGAACGCAACTCCAAGCGGAGAAGGGCCAGGGAAGGCAATCCCAACGACCCGATTGACCTTCTGTGGCTGGGGTGAGTGAAGAGACAGGGAGGAAGACCCCGGAGCCAGTGACAGCTGCAGAAACAGCTAGGACGCGCACAGTCCCATTTTTTATCCCACCTAAAACTCTGGGCACCGCGGCGGCACCAGTCGATAACCAGTAGCCTAGAATGTTGGCATCCAGTTCGTCTCACCCAAAAGAGCAGAAAAATCTGGAACGGAGGCTGAAAGCTGGAAAAAGTGTGGCTTGATGATGGCTTGATGATGGTGTAACGAGCCGGGGAGACCATCAGTAGCCTTTAGTGGGAGCTGAAAGGGTCAGGTATTGTTCCTTTCGGCCTTTAAAGGCAGGGGTGGGGGTGCTGTGTGACCCACCGAGACCCCTGCACTGGATATGCAAAGAGATGCAAAGGTTTTCTAGTGGGAGACACCAGAGAGGTTCTGCTTTTTTTTTCCCCCCAAGGGAAGGGGTGAGGCTATGGGAGGGAGAAGTAGTTCTGTTTTCAGCTGGGCAAACATGGACGGTTGCCCATAGAAACTTAGCCACTGTACTTCAGAAAGTTGCCCAAGTCGTCGGAGAACAATGTGTTCCCTTTCAGCCACCCTGGGCCACTGAGCTGGGGAGGGTGGGGGTACAACATTTCCTCTTGTGTTGGGTTTCTCTCCTTTCAGAGGTTTTTGTGGCAGTGGCTTGCAGTTTCTAGCATGCCACTTGGCTTTTGAAAACCCAGATCTTTTTTGTTACCCAAGTGGGAATTTGCTCATTAAAGTTCTCTGGTGGAATCTGAGGATGTCGTTTGCAAACATAAATCTGCCTTCTCAAGTGAGAAGACCCATGGAAACGGTAGCAGTGTACATTCTAGAATCCAGCTCAGATCAGCTCTTTTGATGCCTCGGGGGTTCCTAATAACTTGCACTGCTTTTAGGAAGCCCACCAGTCTTTAAAGTCTTCGAGCTGGCCTCCACCATCTCAATGTGTGGAGTGGAGGGATCTCTAAAAAAAGGGTTTTTCACTGAGATGCCAGCCAGGATGCAAGGAAAAGACAAGACTGACCCAGAAACCATAAGCAGCCAAGCCATTCTGTGGCTGGATTTTATGCATATTGGGAGAAGAGACCTTCTGTGAGCTGTGTCCTTCTGAACTTGAGTGTTTTGTTTTGTTTTATTAGGAGCTCCCTGCTCCCGTCCAGTGTCTTGGTGTAAAAAATAAAACACTTCCTCTACGTTGGCTACATTGAGAAAATAGAGCTTAGTCCTCACAAGTGTGGATTCTAGCCTGAGGAAGCCTAGAAGATTTTTGTCTGATAGAAAAACTTAAACCCCTTGAAAGCAGAGTGAATAACTATACCCCGGAGAGTGTGGCTTCCAAAGGGAGGGGACGACAATCCCATTGTGACTTTTTGATTGAATTGTCCTTACTTGAGTCATTCCTGCGGAGGCTCAGTTTGGAGTCTGTGACCTTCATTGTTTTTTTGTTGGTTCTTCCTCTGCAGAACAACTTCCACCATGGCCACCTCTGCGAGTTCCCACTTGAACAAAGGCATCAAGCAGGTGTACATGTCCCTGCCTCAGGGCGAGAAAGTGCAAGCTATGTATATTTGGATTGACGGGACTGGAGAAGGATTACGTTGCAAGACCCGGACCTTGGACAGTGAGCCCAAGGGTGTTGAAGGTGAGAGACCAAGCAGAGTGGGAGTTGGGATTGGGTGGGGGGAGCAGCCTGAAACCAAGCCACTAGATTTAGCCACTTTATTATTCTGTTTGTTAAGGTTTTCTAAGGCGGGGTTTCTCAGACTCCATTCAGTTGATGTTAAGCTCCTACACTGCCTCAAAGCATAGTAACAATGGACCCCTTTATTTCAATAGAATCTTACACGTAAGCCAGTGTATTGAAGAAAAAAGATTAAAAGTCTAGTTGGGGCAGGAGGGGGGCTGGGGAACTTTGCTGACTTGGGCATCCCCATTTAGTTGGCCCTAAGGCACCCCCAGGAACCCCGTTTGAAAACCATTGTTGTAACCTGACTCCACTATCTACTTGATAAACACTGAATAAATACTGTTTCATATTCCTATCAGTGAGGTTCTAGATGCAAAGCAGACTCTGTAAAGTGGTTTCTAAATAGGACTAGCCGTTCATTTGTTTTTAGTTGATGCCACTTTTGGAAATTCTTAAGCCACCTGATTGCTTATCACACCAGGAGCTCATGACTTTCATTTTTCAGTCAAGAGCAAGCCATAGCCCTCCTTCTTCTGGAAGGGGACCAGAGAAAAAATAATCACCTCTTACCTACTTTTAGGAAGGGTTACTCTTCTAATGGTGTTCACACTGGAGTGAATACATGACCATAAAATATAAAGTATGAATTATATACGTGCTATGAGGCAGGTGTTAGGCCCTGGGGGTACAAGAGAAGAGTCTGTTTCTCTGCCTTTGGAGAGGAAGAAACCAGCCTTTAATACATAGTGCGGCAAGTGGATAAGTGATAATGGGAGCACCCTTGACTAAGTTATCCTGCTAGTCGTTCATTTCCTTATCTGTAGAATAAGGACAGCTTGAGCTAGAACAGTCCCTGGATGCAATGGGGGATGAGTTAATGAAGCGACTCGGGGGCCTAGTGGGGGAATCTGAATCTGCTTCTCCTATTCCAGTTTTCTAAATGGTCACTGACTTCCTGGTTATGTCAGACTATTTCAGTTTGTCTCCACAGTGTCTAGCAGATGACCTGGGGAAGATAACTTCATGCTCAGGTTGTTTTTGTGACTTATTTTTCTTAAAGGAAGTGATGCAGTGGTCTTACTTGCAACCCATGTGGGAAGGACGTGAAAGCCAGGTGCAGTTGTCAGAGTGTGCATATTGATGGCAGGAGTCATGTATCACTTGACTTTCTGAAAAGAAAGTGTATCTCTTTCAACATAGTAAGGTTAAGTAAGGGTCTGTACTCTTGCCTGAAAAGCTCCACATTCTTAACCTAATTTTCCCTTCTCCTTTTACCCCAGAGTTGCCTGAATGGAATTTTGATGGCTCTAGCACCTTTCAGTCTGAAGGCTCCAACAGTGACATGTATCTTGTCCCTGCTGCCATGTTTCGCGACCCTTTCCGCAAGGACCCCAACAAGCTGGTATTCTGTGAAGTCTTCAAATACAACAGAAAGCCTGCAGGTGTGTACAGGATAGGTATGGACCTGTCCTCAGTCCGTGAGTGTTGTAAAGGAAAAGGACAGGAGGTTCCAAAATTGACCGGGAACACGAGACCATCTTATGTCTCAAACTGTTGTGGGAGTCTGGGTGATGGGACATGCATCTCTACCTTGAACGCCCTGCCCTCATTCAGAGAGGTAGTGTGGTCCATCTACGCATGGTCTCCTCTATTGGTTGTACAAAATAACAGTGAATTCCTTTAATCTGTCTACCAGTTCCCCCATGACATAGCCCTACTGCCTGCCTGTAGATTTGAAAAATGTGAATTCTGAAGTCAGAATGATGGGTTAGAATTCTGGATCTGCCACTTAACTGGCTATGAACCTTGGCAAGTTATTTATCCCCTTACACTTAAGTTTCCCTGATTTTAAAAGGGCGGGGGATAAAATCCATCTCCTGGCTGCGTTCACCGAGAGTATACATGTGTCTTGGAAGTTCACCGTAACTGCATTTTTGATTTTTGCCCCTCGTGGCCTTTGATCCTGATTCTCTGCCATTCACCTCGTTATCTCCACCAAAGCCCCCCACCTTCCCCGCTGTTAGTCTCTTGCTGTGCCCTGCCAGTGCGACTTGCAACAAATTACATAGTTCCTGGACCTTACTGCCTTTGTTTTGAGAGGCAGTACCATTGTGGTAAAGGGCGAGAGCTCTGAGGCCAAGCCAACCACGGCTTTCCTGGTTCTGCTACTTGCCGGGTAACTTGGGCAGGCCACCCAATGTCTCTGAGCTGAGCTGCATTTTCTCTTTTATAAAAGTAGAGGCTATAATCCTTATGTTAGGAAGACTCCCTTGTGGTTTTTCCTTCAAGTAGTAGAGGTCTTAAAATGGTTTGGGGACACAGTTAAGCTGCTGATTTTAAGTCTGTATCTACTTATTTTAAAGTTCTTTTCTAGCTTAGAAATTGTCAGGCTCATATCATTTTAATATTTTGCATTTGTACTAGACAACGTAGCCCTTAATCTTCTCACCTGGAATATGAGGCCCCCAATAGACCAATGATTCTCAAAATTGTAGGTTTGGCTCTAAATACTTGAGAAACCAGGAATAAGTCTGACAATTAAAGCAGCTGCCTTGTGAATAGAGTTTAAGTGCCTGACATGTGGTACTTGGGAAGTGGCCAGCATGCAGATAAGGTGCAAATTTGCTCTCTTCTGGATCCACTCCATATGATTTGTTTGTGACCTACGAGTCTCCCTACAGACCAATGATTACTACTTCTCCTATTTTCCCCACTTAGGTTGATGGAACACACAAAAAAAGGTTTTACTCTGTATCATTCACCTTATAGTCCACACTTCAGCTTTGTGGGATCCAAAGACCTTTCCTCATCTGCACTGGGATTCAGTGTATTTGCCCATATGTCTTCAATGGCACATTGACTTTTTTTTTTTCCTTAGAAACCAATTTAAGGCATACCTGTAAACGGATAATGGACATGGTGAGCAACCAACACCCCTGGTTTGGAATGGAGCAGGAATATACTCTCATTGGCACAGATGGGCACCCTTTTGGTTGGCCTTCCAATGGCTTCCCTGGGCCCCAAGGTGAGTCCTCTTGATGAGAGGTGAACCTCCTGTTCCCTTGTTGCTTCATTGCCAAAGAAAGACTCTCTTCATAGCTGACAGTAAACTCCTTATGGATCAGAAAAACTATGGGAATATCCCTAAGGCTGGCTGAAATAATACTATAGGGAGCCCCTCCTGTTACCCAAATCCAGACATTGTATTTAGACATTAACATGAGGGAAATCCTTTGGCTCCACTGAGGTTATAATATAATGGCCAAGAGGAGCCCCCTGCATGCTAGCACCCCCACCTCCAGGTGAAGACAGGCATAGTGATTCTGGAGAGCAAATGTTGAGAGCTTTCTGATTTCTGACCTTTGTGGAAAAGGATTTCTTGGGTTTCCTGTGTCTTGACCTTTCACCTTAATGCCTCTGCAGGTCCGTACTACTGTGGTGTAGGAGCAGACAAAGCCTATGGCAGGGATATCGTGGAGGCTCACTACCGGGCCTGCTTGTACGCTGGCATCAAGATTGCTGGGACAAACGCTGAGGTCATGCCTGCCCAGGTAAGTGACTTGTTCATCTGTAGGACCTATGGGCAAGTGGGGACTTTTGCCAGCACCCTCGTTTGCCTAAAACTTAAGCGGGATTGGAATAGAGGTGAGAAAAAAGCACGGTTAAGAGCTTCTGAACCGGGGTAAGGAGTTGGCATTATTGTAAAGGCCAACTGTGTTGTTCTCTCTAGTGGGAATTCCAGATAGGACCCTGTGAAGGAATCGACATGGGAGATCATCTCTGGGTGGCCCGTTTCATCTTGCATCGTGTATGTGAAGACTTCGGAGTGATAGCAACCTTTGATCCTAAGCCCATTCCCGGAAACTGGAATGGTGCAGGCTGCCACACCAACTTCAGCACCAAGGCCATGCGAGAGGAGAATGGTCTAAAGTAAGTGCTTTCTCTTGATGGGGCCATCTTTTCCTTGCTCGCGTACTTGCCAAGGGTCTGTGTTGGGGCTAAATGAGCCAGACTTCTCCATGTGGACTTGAGCTTTTAGCACTTGGCTTTACAAGTGGTTTTCTGATTCTGTCATTTCATTCCTATTTGAAAAGTACCAAAAAATACTCTAGGAATCGAATCCAATGGTAGCGATTGGAAAAGGGGGGGCCTAATTTAATTAACGGGTTTGAAAGTCTTCAATAGGAAATAACTTAGTAACAATAAAAAGCATGTGAATGAACTTAATGCTTAGGGGTGGGGGAAGGTCTTTGATAAGGATCTTTTCCTTTAACAAATACCATGTAGTGAGTGTCCAGCACCATCCTGAGGCACTGGGTGGGATACACAGGTAAGAAGGCAGAGTTACTGCCCTGGTGGAATGTTTGATCTGTGGGGACCATGTTTTGGTGAATTGTAAGCAGTCGTTGATAGAGGAGCCCCTCCATTCTTAGATCCATACCTGGCCCCCTGCCGTGAAGGGCAGATTTCCTGGTGGCAGGTTGGACCCCACCATCTTCTCCATTTACCCTAGGTACATTGAGGAGTCCATTGAAAAACTGAGCAAGCGGCACCAGTACCACATCCGAGCCTATGATCCCAAGGGAGGCCTGGATAATGCCCGGCGCCTAACTGGATTCCATGAGACATCCAACATCAACGACTTTTCCGCCGGCGTGGCCAACCGTGGTGCTAGCATCCGCATTCCCCGGACTGTCGGCCAGGAGAAGAAGGGTTACTTTGAAGACCGTCGCCCCTCTGCCAACTGCGACCCCTTTTCGGTGACAGAAGCCCTCATCCGCACATGTCTTCTCAACGAAACTGGCGATGAACCCTTCCAGTACAAAAACTAAGCGGACTAGACTTGCAGCCATCGAACCCCTCCTAATTAATTCTCCATCCTGCCTCCGTGTTTGCCCCTCTCTTGACTGTCCTAATAGCTGTAACTCAAAGGGCGGAATATCAAGGTCTTTTTTTTTATTCCTCATGCCCAGTTAATATCTCTTGCTTTCTTTGGCCAGGATAGAGGGGTCAAGTTCTTAATCTTTTTACACCCTCCCCCTTTTTTTTTCCTGTCACTGAAAGCTGTCTAGTATGTTAGTAGGGAGGGGGGTAGGGAGACATAACCACTGTTCCCGTTTAATCAGGTGTGTTTGTCCAATAGGCGTAGCTATCCGGACAGAGAATAGTGTTTGTGAAGGGAGGGGGAGGGCTCTTTCTTCGAGGTAGCTGAGTGTTGAGGGGGGGGAGGGTTACTTACTCTGGGGTTAGGTTAGGATTTCCCCTCCTGGTGGGAAGTTCCACTTCGAATAAGGTTATAACCAACTTTCTATTAAAAGTGAGACTTAATGAGAGAATCAGGCGGGAATGTGCCTCCCGTCCTCCTGGTGCAGGGCTTCCCCTACCTGGGGCGAGATAGCCCTCACCTGAAGACAAGCTCAGCGTAAGGATGGATTGACCTACCTTAGCAGAAAAAGTTCTTATTGCTTGGTCCTCCATTTATAACACAAAGCAGAGTAGTATTTTTATATTTAAATGTAAAAACAAAAAAAATTATATATATGGGTGTGCAGATATGTGTGGTTTTTTCCCTAAAGGAGGAAAAACATTCTGGTTACAGAGAGCCAGATTTGAGGTGAATAGTCTGGAAATAAGGATCTCCTACTGAGTGGAGACTTGGTATTCCCTCACTGTCACTATAGGGCTCCCATGTGCCCTGCCCACTCTTCTGCAATTGGGGGTAGACACCGGTCGGTTGACAGGTGGAAAGCACGGTGTAGAAGGAGGAGTCACCTGAGCCCCGTGGCTTTGGTTTAAAAGACACACATGTACACACAGAGGTTTAGAAATAAAGAGTTGGCTGGTCAACTTGCATGTTACTGACAAGGGGTTATTGGGATTATTTTCTGATGGGACTAGCATGTCACTAAAGCAGGCCTTTTGATATATTAAAATTTTTTAAAAAGCAAAACAGAAGTTTAGATTTTAATCCTGTTGTAGGGTTCTTCTGAGTCTTCGTTGTTACAGAATCACCTGTTTGCTTTGGCTGTCTCCTTCCTGTCTCTGCTCTTATGGGGACAGCCCTGGAGTCAGAACACTTGTCATTTTGTATCCTGGTGTCTATTCTGAGTGTGAGATGCTCCTTTCCATTGTTAAGATTCCTGAGGCGTTACTTTTTCTTTTATAATAAAATGCAAACCCCATCTTCATCCCTATGTTTTCCTGGCTGTGTCTGGCTGTTTTCATGTTGGCTGCAGCCGGCCGGCGGTGGCTTCCTCTTGCCATGACGACTTCTAATTGCCATGCACAGTATGTTCAGTTAGGTAGCTCTTCATTGTAAACAAACTGTTAACTGCCCAGCGCAGCTCTTATAAATCAACCTAACATTTATAAGATCTCTTCTGACTCGATTCTTTGTGTTTCTTTTTAAATCCCTGCGTGCCTTTTCACTCTTTTTCCTACCGAAAAAGGGGATTTTTTTTTTTTAAAGCAACAAAGGAAGCTCAAATTCACTCGTTCTAGGAATTTTTAAAAATCTGTCTTGAGTCATGTTGCCAACCAGCTCGCTTTTGTACTTGGAGTGTTTGGAGTCTCAGGATGAAGGCATATCCCAGCCCTAGAGTTTTGGAGGATGGTACAAACCCTAGCCCTCTCGTGCTCCAGAGCTTGGTTTTGACTTATGATTCTATAACATCGCCTTAGCACCCTTTTTAATTTTATAGCAGCCTGAAATGGTTAATGTGTTATCAAGGGCTCTCACCATCCCTACTGGTCTTGATTTCATCCTTACCCACTACCCCCGAGGTGTTGCACCTCTTGACCCTGCGGCGACCCTGATTGAAGCCTTCTGAGGCTGGCTGGGTCAGGGCTAGCTAGCCCAGATATGCCCTGGACATTCCTCTCCTTGCTCTAGCCCAATGAGCTGCTTATTGAGTCCCCCCAAAGCTCCTTGTTCTTGATCCCTTAACCTGGAAGCTGGTTCTCCCACCTTCCCTGCTTTATTCTTAGTTCATTTCCATACCAGGCTAGGTGGAAACTCTCTCCTCTACAATGTTGTGTGTAACCCTCTGGCGAAAAGCACTACTCATCCAACACTTTAACCTAATGTGCCAGGTATTGTGGGCAATACCAATTACTATCTTTAAAAGGTAATGTCCTCTATCAGTTTGGAGGTCGGTGGGTCCTGTCAGAGCAAACTTAGGGATGACTATTTTCTATGAGCAAGTGTGTATTTTGCTCTAGTTTTAGGCAATCCTAGATAATTGTGGGTTTTGGGTGGTTTTTTGTTTGTTTTCTAGGAAGATTGGCTGGACATTTTCAGAGTAGGATGATATTGGTTTACTGGGTATGGTCCCAGTTTGTATTGGTTGTTTCAGTGTGATTTTAAGAGTGGCTTCTGTCACTCAGCATCCTCTTGGTTTTGCTGACAAATTGTGGGGTGTTCTTTGCATTGAACCTCTACTTCCCTCTTCCCAGCTGAAATTGGCTTCCCCTCACTGGAGCACCCCTTGCAGTTCAAGAGTGGGGGGTAGGGATGGTATGTTATCTGCAGCACAAGCACCAGACCGAGGCAGTGGCCTGAGCACAGTTCCCAGCAAAGATGACATAAAAAGGAATTCTAAATTAATATGATCAGAACTTCAGTGGAAACAAGGTTATTTCCTTCTCTACCCTCTCACCTAGAATTAGCTGTGACCTATAGAGGTCACAGTGCAATCCCTTTGTATTCCTAAGGTGTTTTTTTTTTTAATAGCTCATTTAACAGACACTGGGTTACATGATAAGTTATCAGTGATTAAGCAGAATGGCAGCCAAGCCTTCAGCCTTAAAGAGACAGAGGCCTGTGTTCACAAAAGGAGTTACCCGTTTTAAAAATGAATTTCCTTAATTTCATTCTGCCAGTACTGGGTAGGAGCTAAAGAATTGCACAGGTTAAAAGAGGAATGTCAGAAAACCAAAGGATTCCATGGAGTTCCTTGGATGGTCACGTTGGGACCATTTAACAAGCCGGATCTGTGCTCCTGGGTGGTGTTGCACACGAGTAGAGAAGTTCCTGAACACACCCGTGGCACCAAGATTTCAAATATCTCACCAAAGGCTTCACTTAGATAATTCCAGCTACTGCTTGGCCCTTACACCAACAAAGGTCAAGTCTAGAAAGTAACTTGCTATCCTAAAGAAAGCCCACCCCTCAATAGGACTTTTTGATTATAAACTTAAGGGATCCCTGGGTGGCTCAGTGGTTGAGCGTCTGCCTTCGGCTTAGGGCATGATCATGGGGTCCAGGATTGAGTCCCACATCAGGCTCCTTGGAGGGACCCTGCTTCTCTCTCTCTCTCTCTCTCTCTCTCTCTCTCATGAATAAATAAAATCTTAAAAATAAATAAAAATGATTATAAATTCAGGAAGGCAAGGGTCCTGGTTTTCTCAGGACTAGATCCTGGTCCTATCATGGTGCCTGAGTACTTGCTTAATGATTATTTTTGTGAGTTCTAAGCCATTTGGCGCTATTGGTGACATCCAACCCATGAAGTCTGGGTGCTTTGGCTGTGTTCTAACCCAGGTCATGGCACTAAATTTAAGTTCAGTTTTACTGAGCTTAATGACTGCTGCCTTGGCTAATTCTGGCTGGAGTCAGGCTGCCAAGAGCCTTGTGTTGCTTTGTGAGTTATAACTAATATAAAGTGGCAATTCATTATGTAATTCCAAGGCTTCAGGTAAATTGCAACTGTAAACAAATGTGAGCTGACTAGAGCCCTGCCATTTTATAGCCTTTATCTCAAGCACCAACCACTCATTTAAAAATATGTCATACTTGATTTTACGATATGCAGATATATGCACTTCACATAGTCATAAGATAGGCATACACCATATTTGGGCATGCATATACGTACACATTAGATACACAATGCATGCATACACGTACACATTAGACGTACATGCATATATGTACACATTAGACACACAATGCAGGGATCCTACATGAACCTTCCCCAAGTTACAGCATCTTATGAAGGAGACAGGAACTTATGAATATCTCTTCTAGAAGCTACGTGCATTCAATAGAATTCATTGGACTGATAAGCTGTCCCTAGGAGCCAGAAGGCAGGACATAGAAGCTGTTAAGTCTTCAAGCATAGTTCTGCTGCCAACTCTTTCTCTGGGTAGGAGGTTTTCAGTCACTGTCAACGTAGAAGTATTTGTCTACAGTTCACTGCCCAAAGCTCTCTGGCGTCCTAGCCCCACTTTACCGAGGAGTGTTGGTGTGGTTCCTAATGTCATTTCATGAGTTGTTTTCTGGGGGTGTTGGACCTCAGCGAATTGTCGTTTTTCTCATGGGTTTCAGACTGAGTTACTTGCATTGTCTTGAGATTGCAGCTTATCTCAGTTTGTTCAACTCCTCCACCATAGGGCCTCATCTGCAGACCTGTGACTTGACTCCAGTGGGCATGCGCTCACTAAACTCTGCCTGGAAGCCTTTCTACATTTGCCTTTCAGTGAAAGTTCAGAATAACCTCCTTGTAACTATTATACTGCTCTTATATTGACATTAAATGGAAGAGGCATCCAAGATACTTCCAAAATTTAATAAAATGGGGACCAAATAGGCACTATTTGGGGTATTTTGGTGCAAGCACATACATGAGGGGGTCAAATGAATGGAAATTCTTCTCTTTCTCTTCTAATGACCTCTTCTTACAGCTAAAAGAATGTCATTCATATCACCAAGCAATATGGAACATCTGATCCTATCACTATGTATATACTAGCTTATCCCCAAATGATTTTGCAAGCTGTTTTTTTTTTTTTTTATTTATTTGCTTGATCGAGAGAAAGAACACAAGCAGGCAGAGGGAGAGGAGAGAGCACAAGAAGGCAGAGGGAGAGGAAAAAGCATGCAGGACCCTGGGATCATGATCTGAGCTGAAGGCAGACACTTAATGGACTGAGCCACCCAAGCACCCTTGTAAGCTGTTTTGATAACTCAAATAATGTTATGTATAAAGAAATATAGTATTATATTGGTAGAGGGGGGAGAGGAGGATTGTTTTTTGTTTTTTATTTGGAAGAAGTAAACATCTGTCTCTGGGAAGGAATCTGTGATTTATTAGGAACTACATTTATTTTTTTTTTATAAATTAATTTTTATTGGTGTTCAATTTACCAACATACAGAATAACACCCAGTGCTCATCCCGTCAAGTGTCCCCCTCCGTGCCCGTCACCCATTCACCCCCACCCCCCGCCCTCCTCCCCTTCCACCACCCCTAGTTCATTTCCCAGAGTTAGAAGTCTTTATGTTCTGTGTCCCTTTCTGATATCTCCCACACATTTCTTCTCCCTTCCCTTATATTCCCCTTCACTATTATTCATATTCCCCAAATGAGTGAGAACATACACTGTTTGTCCTTCTCCGATTGACTTACTTCACTCAGCATAATACCCTCCAGTTCCATCCACGTTGAAGCAAATGGTGGGTATTTGTTGTTTCTAATGGCTGAGTAATATTCCATTTTATACATAAACCACATCTTCTTTATCCATTCATCTTTCGATGGGCACCGAGGCAGGAACTACATTTAGAGAGACAGTACAGTAGGAACATCCACTTCTCCAGGTCTTCCTTTAGAAAAGATCATAAAACAAACATATTGGAATTCTCCCCACACAACCCACCACCAGTTAGGATCCAGAGGTGGCAGCATACGTTTTTATATAAATATATTATGACCTAGCCCACTTAAGGTACTTAGCCAAGCAAGACTTCAGTAAATGTCTGTTGAATTAGGTTGTTAGAGAAAAGTCACTACCCATATAATATCACTGGCTAGAGGAAATGGATACAAGCCTGGAGTGGGGTGAGGGGCAGTTTATTTACAAGTATCAGTCTTAGGTGTTAATGGCTGTGTATGAGCTGTCCCACTCCTGCAGTTAATCCCAAATTACCCAGTTCAGAAATATCTTCTCTCTAATCCAAAATGCAGAGCCTTTTGGGGTGATCATCCCAGTTGCTATATCCTGGAAGCAGCTGAGTCTTCCAGATTCTTTTCTTCCCCCAGGAGGGGATGAAACTCCTTCCAGATTTAGAATTCTGTGCTATGAACTATCATTTCTAAAACTGAAATAAAAACAGTTCAGTCTCAGATTTGCTTTCTTGGGGGGATAAGAGTGCTCTTCCAATTTATGATCACTTATTTGCCACCAGCGTTCTCAGCTGAACTCAGGTATGTTAGAGAAGTCTGAAAGAAATGACAAGCCAGGGCAGCCCAGGTGGCTCAGTGGTTTAGTACCACCTTTGGCCCAGGGCATGATCCTGGAGACCCGGGATCGAGTCCTGTGTCAAGCTTCTCCCTCTGCCTGTGTCTCTCCTCTCCTCTCTCTCTCTCTCTCTC